ATGTTATTTCTTATTGTACTAGTTAATGTTAAACCTTTATTGTAAACAGACCAATACCTCCCTTTGGAGAATAAGGCGCATTAAAGATATACTATACTATACTATACTATACTATACTATACTATACTATACTATACTATACTATACTATACTATACTATACTATACTATACTATACTATACTATACTATACTATACTCACTCACTTATTCACTCACTCCCTTCCTCCCTCCCTCCCTCCCTCTCTCCCTCCTTCCCTGCCTCCCTCAATCAATCAATCAGTCAACTAACTTGGAATATTAATCGAAAAAATACAATGGTCAATCAGCTGGGAAAAGATTATGGACATTGCATTTGAATTTTTCCACGAGGTCTAATTCATTGTTTGGCTAATGAAAGGTTACTGACAATCAGCTTTCATGTCAGATCTGTGTTGTTTTGAGTAGTATAGCTTGGGTGCTTCCTGTTGTTCGTTGCTTAAATAGCTGAGATATGTCGCAGATAGAAAGCAGCTGAGCTGTGCTATCATAATCTTAGTCTGTATAAGTCACAATTTCAGAACCTGAATTACGATGAGACTTGAAGAAAAGGTTACATCAATGACAAGATTTTTATGCTGGACAGTACATGTATGATTAATATTTTTCTCACATAATGTTCCAGACGGCCTTTGATTCATAAGTACGTAACACAGTAACACGATTACCTTTTTTAATTGCTTTTTTGTCTTTTGTTTTCGTTTGTGGTTCAGAATGTGGGCCTGTTGGTGTAGAAGACAGGAACACAATACCAGATGCCAGAATGACGGCAAGCACAAATTTTGATAGTTATACGTATCCATACTATGGTCGGCTGAATGAGCACAGGGGAGATGGAGCGTGGTGTACAAACACAACAACAGACAGAACAGACTATCTTCAAGTTGATATGAGTGCAGTACGGTCTGTTTGTGCTGTGGCAACACAAGGAGAAAGAGTAGGCCCTTTCTGGACCACCAGCTACAAAGTGCACCTTTCTACAGATGGAGTAACATGGAACAGCTACAAGGAAAACAATGCTGAAAAGGTGACTAAGATAATATTTACTTCATACTTACTTAGAGTTTCGGATAGAATTGATCGCATGAAATCCCATGCGGAAATTTCTTCATCCAATCACAATGGCGAAACGACTTTCTTACACGTGGAAAAAGCGTTTCATCAAATCAGAAATCAGACCCGACGCGACCTTAGCGTGTTTTAGCCAATTCCTCAAACAGAAAGAAGAGATCTGAAAAGTGGAAGAAATCAAATTAGATGAACTCAACAAGTTCATGTGCGAATTTATTTTAAATGTCAAACGAAAATATGACCAGGATTACAAACCATCAAGCCTTCGAGAGGTTTGTCTGAATAAAAGCATAACTTGACTATTGTTCTGCTAAATGAAAAAGCAAATAAATTTTCTTAAAATCGTCGATAGTGAAAATCTCAGTAAGTATAAAATAAACAAATTACAGCACGGAATGTGCTTTGTACGGTCTTAATGCACTCGTTGTTTTTGTATCAGAAAACTCGTGCGTAAATACCGTACGCGCGCACTTTCCATGAGGTAATCTATATTTTCTTATCCAGGAGTGTAGGCCTATAGAGAAATCGTAAAGTTTTATTCTCAGTAAACAGGACAATTGTCTCATACTTAAGTCATACAAGCCCTGAAGTCCTTGTTTATAAAGGATGTTTGTACCGCTATATATTGCAGGAAAAAAAAGAATCGGGAGCAAGAAATAGTTTAACAAGCCGGGTTACCCATATAACAAGTTTCGAAAAGAATGAAAATTCTAAATACAAATTTATCTGAAAAAGTTAAAACTAAAAATCTTCCCATGTTAGTTTTAATCACTCAGCGAGAATTTCGATTTGGAAACAAGTCTAGCGTTCCTGGAATGGAAGTTGTAGACATTTTCTTTTCAGTTAGCTTTGTAAAACAACTTTCGTAGACTTCTTAGGCCCAGTTCAGATGCCGAACTTTTCATGAGCCGAGCCTAATACGTTGAATTACGTACATGGAAAGTTCGGCGTCTGAATCAGTTAAGAACGGCTATTTGAATTTGGAATGGCTCAGCCGTTCTTCCCGCCTAGCTCAGCCGGGAATTTCGGCTTTGGAACGGCTTTGATTCAGACGTCGAACTTTTCATGTGCCTAACCTAATGCATACACCTTGCCTGAAAACCGCTGACCTTTCGATGTGTTTTGGTTTAAACTAAATTAAGTTCGGTGAATTAAGCTCGACGTTTGAATCAACAGCTGTACTTTTGACAATTTGGGTCGGTTCAAATTCGAATTAAGTTCGGCTCATGAAAAGTTCGGCGTCTGAACTGGGCCTAATGCACGTGCTTAGTTTTGTTACCACAGTTCGATACCAGAACAGTTGAAGGCGCGCATGCATATTGAGTTCCTTTTAGGACTGACAAAATGCTCTTACGGGGTGTTCAGTGTGTAAAAAACTTCTGCTGATAAGCTTTTCATAAAGTGGAGGTATTATTGAATTGAACAAGACAGTCAAGAGAAAATTGAAGTAGTTAATCTTAACTGACACGCGAACTTTTCAGACGACTATTTCATAATTGATTATTTATTAATATTTTATTTATTATTATTTTTTCCCTCTAATGTTCGAGTTTATCAGCTGAAGCAGCATATTTTTCGGCCATTATTTCTGTCACTGGTCACCGACACAGCACAAGTTAAAACGACGGAGCTAAGAAGCACACGTCATAACACTGATAAGTGTTATTTTCGGTAGATCTTAGTTTGTAAGAGCATAATTTACTTCTTTTTCTTTTCCAGGTGTTTGCAGGAAACACGGATCAAAATAGTATCGTGAAACACTCACTCAGTCCTGACGTTAATTACATGTATAAAGCAAGATTCGTTAGATTTTATCCCGTCTCGCATGATGGCCATCCTTGTTTGAGAGTTGAGATATTTGTACTAAAGTAGTCACACCGGTTCTATTCGCCATGAAATAACCGGTAAAAGAATGAACAACCAAACGAGCACAAAGCAAACAAATGCTCAGCAGAACAAAAAGGCAGCCAAGAGTGCAGTAAACATCTGTACAACGAAACGTCTTTTGAAAACCAAAACATATAAAAGTACTTTTCACCACATTTCCCGCCATTTCGTGTCAGGTAATTGCGAAAAAGTCGTTTGGGCCGTACACGCATCGTGCGAGTAAGATCCTCGGAAGAACTGGGTACCATGTCTTAAAATAACTTACGAGGGATTACCTTGGGTAGAGGGCCTATATGGGGGATTCACTTTTTTACCTTGAAAATCTCTTGATATACTGTAGTAGCCAAACTGCGATATAATGTTTGTAAATACGTACCCTTAAAAGTTTCCTCATTTCTAAAACAGCTCTCAGGTAACGGGCAAATGGAACATTTTCACCCTACCTATCGCTCAGGATTCTCCGGTTAAACAGATAGGTGTCCTACGTCCTAGGTGAAAACTACCAACGTATGACAATCTTGACAAAATATTTTAAGGAGAGAGCATAACTTAAGAGTGACCATTTATAATAGGTTTGTATCTTAGATGCTCAAAGACGAGACACCGGCAGGATACGATCTGCTGTGAACGATATATAATAAGTAGTTTTACCAGAAGGCTAATAAACTATCAAACAAAGAAGGTCAAATTTATAGCAAACTGTTATTGGAGTGTGTTTTTGGCATGGGTTATCAGTAATTGCTAGGGTCTTTTTCCAGGTTATCAGTTGCGATACTCTTTCCACCACCCCCGCTCCCATCCCCACCGCAGCCTAATACACCGCTACTTCCCCAGATTCACCGGAGTGACAAAACCCTAAGGCTTTGTCAGAACGGTTTTTTATCATATCTCGTTTGTGCATTAGTCAAAGGGTAGTGTTCTTCATGTGTAATGTAAAGTTAATAGTTCGTCTTAACCCTCAAACGTACAAAGGTTTTTCCAAGTGTTAAAAAGACCATTTACTCTAAAATACTGAAACTTTCAGGGGCTGCTCATTTATCCTTTCCAGACATTTTGAGAAGTCAATTGTGTATCCAAGTTGCCATGGCAACCACAAATCTCATGTTAATGTGGCCGAAAATGCACTTTTGTGACATAATTCTCTCTTGCGTTTCAGTTCTCCTAGCTCATAAAATTAAACAAATTATTAAATTTTTTTCTTTCCAAATCATTTCGGCTTGATTTTGTACCAATTTCCATTATTTCTTGACCTTTTAAGAAAATTTGAAATCCAGAATGGCTGATCAAATGACGTCATTTACGTCATATGACGTCATAACGTATAAAAATGGTGTCGTGTTGTAAAGCAAGCTCAGGCCTATCTACTCAATGTA